AAGTTGTCAAAAACATCTGTTGTTATTAAACTCAACACTGCTATACCAATCTTAAAATAACTAGGACTTCAAGCAACTTTGTCATATTGTGATAGAATTGAAGTGGAGCCAGAAGCAAAGAAGTGATCTCTACACCTGTTAGACACAGAAGAAGCAATTCTTGTACACAATAGTTGCAGACAGGTAAACTTTGCACCTGCAGCCACAAAAGAGTCTATCCTCATACCTACAGGCCACAGGAGACACACTCCAAGAACAAAGCAATCGATGGAGATTGCTTTGTTCTTGTGCTTTGTTCATTTTTTGCACCTATTTTCCATTAGGCACACATAATACTGTTTTTTATTTTTGATCCCTAGGCCTAAATTCTGTAAGGTGCGCTCGTCACATCAGACAGCATGAGCACTCTCAGTGTCCTTTATGAAGGCATAGAGCCTTTACTACATGAAAATGAAAATTAATGAATACACTGTGTACAGTAATCTACCAGATAAGACAGACCTCAGAAAAATACTTTATGAGGCATAAAGCTGTCTATAATGAAAATTAATTAACTAAGGATTTTTTTGCCCTGCCAGGGTTTGGCCGAGTTATCTGGACTGCCGGGTTATCGAGTACCGAGTTTTTGAGACTCTACTGTAATAATGTAATGCTTATGTGTATCAAAAACGAAGTCATGGACTCCTATTTTTATTTTCCTGGCTCTGTTATAAATAAATAAGAGAGGGAAAGTATGGTAATCTATCAAGAAATGACTCCCACCAACATTTTTACATTTTTGGACTTAGAAGGGACCTTGAAACCTCAAGAAATGCAAAAACATTCAAAGTTTTTTCTCTATGTATGGATGTTACTGTGTTTGTGTGTGGCACGATTTTGTTTACCTTCTTTGAAGCTTAATAATTACTGTGCTTTCGAAAATTTCTGAAATTTTGCGGAAAGATTTGTCTATTAGAAAGATTCATGTTATTAAATTTTGGTGGTTTAAGGTCGACGGGATGGGGAGATAAAGTGTCGTATCTGGAGTAGGGTCGGAGTTAATGACGATTTTACTCGTTATTAACATTCACAATTTTTATAAAACCCATCCCTACCCTCAAATTAAGCTTTTTTCCACATTATAATAATTAAAATTGTAAACAGGTGTTTAAATGAAATATCGTAATGGATAGCACCACCAAAATTTCAAATATAGCCGGGAAAGTTAAGCGATTCGGTTGTTGGATTTTTTAAATTTAAATGGACCCACATTATATTTCTGGATCCTTCGTCTCAATTAATGGAAAATGGCAAAGTTTTATCAAAATCGATCCATTAAGTTTTGAGAATGAACTCAATTCTATAAGCCCAAACAAAACGTGCTAGCGACCGTGAAAATCGCACGATAAAGTCGCACGATTCATACAATATCGCTTTGTCGTGCGCGCTCGTGAAACGACCTTATATCCGAAAAAAAAAAGTCATGGACCCCATTTTTATTACCGTTTTGGATTCCGCATCGCAATTAATTGAAAATGGCAACGTTAAATCAAAATCTATCGAACGGATTTTGAGAACGAACACGATTCTGTAAGCCTCACAGAAGCTTCGCTAACGCTCTGCTTCAGTAAAATTTTCAGAAAATTCCAATGAATTTATTGTCTTTGAATTCAAGATTAAACTTTGAATTAAACAAAAATAAAAGCTGCTTTATTTGGTGCTCTATTACCTGAGTCCCTTTTTTGAATATAAATATTTAATCTATTGAATAAAGATAGCCTACAAATTAAATGACAGTAAATGATATCAAACAACCTATTATACATATTAATCCAAACTATTATAAAGTGATATTTAATTAAATAATATTTTACCATTGTATTCATGCAATACTTTTGAAATATGTTTTATCTGGCAATGTATGATCAGTCATATGAAAATGCAAAGAGCAAACGTACGTATTTTTGATGATTTCCGAAATTTAAAAACATGCAACCTACTGTTTCCATAACTTTGGATCTTTTTGAAGATGATGCAATAAAATACACATAATTTGTTTGCTTTTGCACTGAGGTGCACATTTCAGTGCACCTCAGTGCAAAAGCAAACAAATTATGGAATTATTTATTTATTTTTAATTCTTCCAAAATTCATGTCAAACCATTAATAAAAGCAAACAAAACAAGATAATTGCAGATAACAGTAATTATTTGATGGCTCCAATATAATCAGTAGTTTTCTAATATACAGTAGCACCAGAGTATAGCTCATTCGTTTACAATTGTAAATAGATAAATTTCGGAAGAGTATTCCACAGTTCTACTAAGACATAACTTGTAGTCATATCCTCTAGTTTTTATTTGTTAAAGTGTTTATAATCTGAAGCATTTCATATTCTTATAAAATATTTTTAAGGCTTTTTTTAATCCCTCAGTAACTATTGCTGCTTAAATTATTGAAATGATGTGTAAAGTGGGGTACTGTACCTAGCTATGGGACTGTCCATAAATTACGTCCGCATGTTTCTTGAAACTTTTACTCATTGTCCCAGTTTGTCCAAGTTTCCGTAACCCACTCCCCATTTCCAACAAAACTCGATCCCATCAAAACCTTTATCACTTTATGAATAATAAAATGCATAAGCTATAATATTGAATGAAATAAAACGGACGTCTATTAAAGTTCAATTCCTCCCCTCTTCTTGTCCGACTTGTCATAACCCCCCTCTCCAGTGTGGACGTCATTTATCACAGTCCCTAGTGAAAAATTTTGTTAGGCATATTGTTTCCTTTCTGCACCAAGTTTTCTAGATCCACTATTGCTTATCGATATCCCATAAATAAATATTTTATTTCAAATAGTTGTATTTTTAATTATTTTGAATATTTTTGTGTATTTCTTTTTTTTTAAAATCAAATAAAGGCATAACAGATCGACTTACGAATTACAGATGATCTCCGTTTTACGACTGCTCGTTTTACAACTACCGATTTTATGACAGATGAAAAATTTTATAACAGTTGTATTAAATGCGGTATTTCAGTGTCATATTTTGTGTTAGCCATCTTTATATGGCATTATATAAATTAAAACTATTATTTCAGGAACGTAATTTCAATTTAGGACACCGAGTTTACACGGAAGACAAGGTTCACTTTACGATGATTTTCCAGGAATTAAATTCCAATTAAAAGTAAAAGGTTTACTGTGCTTTATATAAAGACATGAGAAAAAGTAATTTTTTGACCTCATTGTTAGGGAGATCTTTCCTAACGATCGTACTTTTTCAACTTATACTCTGCTATTTCTAACCCGGAAAACAGTTGTGATGGATTCTTCGAAGCTTTCGTCCAATTCATGCAGATATATTTATCACGAATAAATATAAATTATCTATTTCAAACAATTTTTTTCTCCAGTTACATAACTGATCGACGAGATAAGGGCAAATTAGGGCGCCTCAACGCTACTGCGAAGGGCTATTCCAAATATTTTCCACTAAATTATAAAATTATTTTGAAATTTTGCTTTTAGTTTCTTCAATTACTTTATTAGTTATCTGTCGCAATCCAAAAATCATTAAGTATTTCATTATAAATTATACTAAGAAATCAAACATTTCCGAATCTCTTATGTCAATATATCATTATTCACTTTTTCTGAAATACATTTCGTTATTTATGATAGACATTAAGACAGAAAAAATTATAACTATTTGTCTTCCTTTATTTTTTATAGTCAAATTCATTCTAAGTGAATATTGCTGAAAATCTGTATATGAAATTTATAACGATTCATAAAATTAGTACAAGTTGCTCCTAGGCTTGGTAACTTTCCGAGAAACATTTCGAACATAATGTCAAAAAAAGAAAAAAAACCCGCAATTTGAAAAAAGTGGTGGGCAAAAGAAAACCTACAATTTGGGAACCTTTCCTCCACCCCTTGATGATGATGTTGAGACACCTTAACCGCTTCGGTTAAGGTGTCATTTTACCACTCTAAGGATTCAGAAGCGAATATGGATGAGTCGAAAAATCCCAGGAAGTTTTCATGGACGGACATGTCGAGCTCCGTCCCTCACCTCTCTGCCGCTGCCAATTTGGGTCTGGTGGCAATGGATATGATTTAAAAAACCCTCTTAGTGTTTTCGGGGCAGAGACAAAAGTAGGGGGGAATTCAAATGAACGGATATGAAAATAATTTGGATTACAATTAGTGGTACCAACTTCTCGTAAGGAAAAAGGGACAATTTAAAAAATCCTCCACATTCCTTTTTCAAAACATTTTCAAATAAGGTTTTAAAAAATAACTGAAATTCCGAACAGTTGGCAATCCTACTTGCCACGGGATTTATTTATTAATACAGTATTACTGTTGATGAGGATATTATGTTTGTCTTATACAGTATATATTTATTCTCCCATCAAATTCCAATCAATTCAATCAGTGGCGTAGCTACAGTTTGAGCCACCCGGGGCGGTCTATCAGTTGCCGCTCTTCCTTTGGGAAATACACAATAAACATCAAATCTATTTACACAGCATTTTTCAATGACAGTCATATAATTCTTGTAATTGTTAACTCTCGGAACAGTTGATAATGTTACTTTTCTTATTATTAAAACAATTTGAAATTTTTTAATGCCAAAAAATTCCGCCCCCTCCGTTCACCCCTGAATTCAATACATACTGTATATAAATAAAATTAGATATAATTTTTACTATATTTTTCCTTAAGCGGATATAAAATGTTTACTATTTATTCTAATAGGATATATTAGATGGACAATTGGAGGAGGAAGTATAGAAATCAGCATGCCACTGAGGAAAATCCAGATTGGAGTTTGGGCCGATTCAGAAATTTCCATGGATGAATTGATCCAGATATGTTGGTCCCGTCCTTTATCACTAGCTGCCATCCATTGTGGTATACAAAACACAGACCATCTTAGTTACTCATAGGGCTAAATTTTTTTAAATATTTATATCTGATAACAATGCAAACTAAACGTAATTTATATCAATGCATTGTAACATCAGTAATTGTTTCAACAATTGATAAGAAAACAAACCCATTATTGTTCACATATGCTATCTGACAAACATTTTAAAGTAATTGTGAGTGCTAACTACCTGTATTTTTATTTTTCTCGTGAAAAAAAAATTATAAAAGTAATTAATTTCGATTTTGGATAATAACATACTAAAGCATAAAGATTTGAAGACACTTCTTGAAAGATTTCTGTGAGATAAACCATTAAATAAGAACTATGGCAGCACCTCCTGTACCAGAATCCAATGCTGGTTATATTGTAGACATCAAAAACCAGAAAGAAAATTTCACGAAGTTGCATCGTGCATGTTGGTTGGGTAACGAGAGCGATGTTAGGAATTGTTTGAAGTCAATACCCGTGAACAGCAAAGATGATGAAAATCGAAGTCCATTACATTTGGCAGCAGCAAAAGGAAATATTGCAGTCATTGAAATGCTGCTTGAAAAAGATCCTGATGTAAATGATCAGGATATCAATGGGAAGACTCCACTAATAAAAGCCATTGAGGGTTATCATGAAAAAACCGTACATTCGCTGATCGAAGCAGATGCAGATGTTAATCTGAAAGACAGAGGAGGAAATACAGCGATTCATATAGCGCTCAATACTGGCCAATACGATGTTGCACAATATCTACTTCAGTATACAACTGAAGTTAATACTGCTAATAAAAATGGAATTACTGCGCTTCACATCTTAGCTGAAACTAAACGCGTTAAGCTAGCAAAAAAATTTATACATCATGGAGCCAGTGTGGAATCAAAAGATAAAAAACTGAGAACCCCTCTCATGCTCGCTTGTAAGAAAGGTTATTTTCCTATGATATCGCTTCTTCTGAAGAATAGGGCAGATGTAACTGCAGAAGACGCCAAGGGATGGACTGCTTCTGATTATGCCTCGATTGTGGGAAATACACTAGTAATAAATATCTTAGAGCAATATGCTAGAAGTGGTATAAGTACATTTAATGATGATAAAGAATCGAAGAATAGCACAACTACAGATGAAAGCGAAGAGACAGAAGATATAAAACGCAAAAGGAAAAGAAAGCATAAAACTCCAACCGAGAGAACTGTTCCTATTTTATTGGAAACAGATGAAGTTTTATTTCAAAGAGAAAAGGCAAAGAAACGGCATCATCATAAAAAGGGAGAAAAATATCAATCAGAAATCGGTATTCATAAATCTACATCGAAACTACACGAGCAAAAAATTGAAGATGAGGGAAAAACAGAAGATCAACCTTTACCTGTTCCAGATATTGTAGCAGCTATGCAGTTATCTGCTAATCAGTTGGGAGATATTCAATCATGGCTTAATCGTCAGCAAGATATTGCTCAAAAAAAGAGAGAGCAATGCGAACAGTTAAAAGTACATGTAAAAAGACTTTTAGCCGAAAAAGAACAGCTAATCGCTACTAAAGAAAATTTGAAAAAAAATATCACAAAACTGAAGGAAAGTTTTGAGAATGTTGCTAGTAAAACAGAAGCTGAAGTTTTGCGGAATGAATTGATTGCTTTAAGAGAAGGTTTGGACGATTTACAAACAGAACATAATAGGATTCAAAAAGAAAAAGAGGAACTAGAACAAAAGTTAGATGAGCAACAAAGGATTAAAAAAAAATCAGGTGGAGCCCTAGCAGATAAAGCAGAACTGATAAAAAATGAAAATCAAGCCGTTCAAGATAAATTAGCTGATATTGAAAATCATATTCGACCAATTATCGAGGATTTAAGTAAAAAATGCAAAATGGCAAATGAGTTAGTGAATCATCTAAAAATTTTGTTGCGAGGCACTTACAAACTTTTAGAAGAAAAGCACGGACAAATAAATAAAGTTATGGATGAATTAATAGTACAAGAAAACCTAATAAACGATACCAAAGAAAGTTACCAGCAAATCAAAGAAGAGACTATGCAAGTGAAAAAAAATATTGAAGAAGTGGGAACGAAAATGACTTTGGTGAAAAAATATTTAATAAAAGTTCAAAAACAGATGGAAAAACAGTCACTGATGAAAAAGCTTGTGAGCGCCGGAGTGATGAATGAACAAGGTGAAGGTATAAAAACTGATGCCATTCAAACTGGAGAAAGCGAAAAACCCATGAAAAAGGTTGGGCCCTCAAAACAGAAAGGAGAATCAGAAGAGTCTAAGAAGAATAATAAACTCAAAAGTATAAGAATTAAAGATAAAGATTCGAAAGAAGTCGATGAATTGGAAGTCGAACCAGAAATAAAAGAATTGGCAGCTCAGAAAATGGATCCTACAGGTTTAATGTTTGCAAATGTGGATGCTCCAACGGTATGCAAGACGTCAACCCAAGCTGTTCGATATTCGTGGATAGATGAAAAAGATGAAGATACATTGGAAGATCTTAATATCTATCGTAAACATTACCCTTCCGATAAAGCATCAGCTCCTCATCCTTATAGCAATGACGCAGGGGTTTCTGGCACCGAAATTGGGTTCACTACTCAATACGAATTACCAGCCTCTCTTCATGCAAAATTGGCTTGCGTCATTGCTAAATATAGTTATTGTGATGAAAATGACGAAAAAAACGACATAAATTCTTAGCAAATTTAATTAAAATCGAAAAATTATTCGGATTTGTAAAATAAAATTAAAAAAAAAAAACAAAATTTTTAGCCAGTTAAAATTACTATATCACTTTATTAAATCGAACAAATTTGATAAAATTCGTATGTACAATCAACAAAATTCTGCGATATCTAACTAATTGCCGTAACCAGTAGCCTTTAACAACATACCTGTGTCAACCTTTGACTCCGTCTGACAACGAACAGAAAGCTCAAAGGTCGACAGGATGAACCTTGAGATAACTGAGAATTGAGACAATTTTTCTTTCATATATAAACTATAATTTAATTGTTAATTCAATATTTAAAAATTAATATTAAAAAAAAAATGTAAACTCTGACGCGATTGAAATTAGCATACTTAATTTCCTGTGATTTAATTCTTATAATTCATTCCACAATTGTAAATAGATATAAAAATTTCACCATATCGCGTAATTTTGAATTTAGGACATCGCATAGCCCTCATTTCAATCATCAAGTATCTGAAATTTGAATGGGAAAAAATGAAAGTGCCTGTGTAATATAAAATTTTACCCTAAATTGAAAAAAGATTTATTTAGATTATTTTTTTACTAATAATATACATTTCAAAGTTTAATAAAAATGAGTATCTACTAATTAGTGTTTCATGTTAATCATCTTAATTATAAATGAAATTGTTAAATAATTCGGAACAGTTGTTTTAAATGTTTTTTAAATTGACTACTCTTTAAATATCATCATCAGTTATTTGATTTTTATAAAATAAAAAATCATTTAAAAATTAGTGTAATTATTCCAAATTAGATTACAAATAATGGACAAACAATATTACATAAAACAATAGCTAAGGAATTGGTAATTATATTATATTTATAAAATGGCATATACGCATAAGCTTGAATATACTTAACATTATAAAAATGCTTTTTTTTCCTACACAATACAGTATTTCGTAATATATAGGCTATCAAAAAATATTTTTGTAAAAGAATGGATGTCGGAAGAGTTACTGATTGCTAAACGTACTTTAATATGGTCGGAATAGGATTAGGCATTCCAAAACTAATCATATTTAATTATCATGGTTAATAGGTTATTACAGTTTTGGCGCAAAGGCATTTTTGGCCAATAAATAAATAAATACAAACACGTGAATTTTAACATAGTTAAATAAAATTAATTATTTAATGAAAATATTTCGATAATAAATTTTCGTTATATTCATTTGTAAGAATCGTTCTTTTCATAATCGAATGCTTAAAAGCGGAAACTACTTAACTTTTTTTTTTTAAATTCGTTTTCGTCTTAAAAAAAAGGGAAATATTACTGAGATTTTTAAACCATATTTAATCTTCAATTCGGGATATTTCAGCCACTTTGAACATCTACTGACATGTCTCAAAATGAAAATAAAATTACTATCATCTGTATTGTATCTATGTGACAGTTACATTTTCAATAAGCCTATCATGACGGATTTATTATATAATAAATTTGTAAATCAGATATTTGTTTTCAAGTTGTAATGTTCCGGTAAGTATATGTTTAATATTTTAATGAAATATTGTATGACTTATCAAGTCGTATTAGTTTATACACGCAAGGTGTAAAACACAAGAACTATAAACGGGTACATATAAAATTAGCAGACAAAATTCGAAACAAACATAATTTAATATACATTATTTTAACGCGTCGAATTATGCATCTATTCATTTATTTATATAAAAATATCTATAAAAATAAACATCGCGACATCTTTTCTAATCTGTCTTAAAGTAAGAACCACCATCCTTAAGCAACTCCGAAGTACAAACTACCAAAACTTTTATTCTTCAGTTTTATCAAATAACTTTTAGAAAATGCATTTCAAATAGTAATTGTCTTGTTCTATATTAAGATTAAAAAATAAAACGATTGACATTTTAACAGCAACAAAGCAGTCTTATACATATAATAATACCACAGTATATTTACCTAATATACATTTTCTTAAATTATTGCCATTAGTTACTATTGAAAAAAATCGATAAAAAACAAACTGGACAATTTTCACAGACTATTTTTTATAAACATGATTTTACGTTCATTTTACAGTATAATAAATGCTTGATAAAATTTGAAAGATCTTTTCATTTTAATGTGTGTATAAAAACATAGTTGGACAAAGATTTATATCTCTTGTAACAGAGGCGAATGGGACGACCACTTCAATAACTTCATTGAACAGTTTGAAATTGAAAAACGTGTAAATGGGAATATTTATCTGATCTATTTTATAGTCAAAGGTATTTCATATGATATTCTAAAGATTCTAGATATTTTATAAAACATTTTGTTCTTAAAGAAAATTACTAAATCATGCTTATTCTTGATGTAGAGTTGTGGAATAGATTTAATAATAATAGTGAAAATTCTAATTTTAGTTTTCATAAAAAATTTAATGAGACTGGTTTCTATTGCAATTAAAAATAAAAGATGTAGTTATTTCCACAATGCATTAATTCATTCTGCCCAATAATTAGGTTTTGACATTCGTTAATCTAATCAGAATTTAATATGATAATTTGTAACGATGACTCTAAAATTTTTGAATGCACTATTTACATATGAATTTTTAATTTATTCAAATGAATTACGTAATAGCGTAAATCAAAACTTAAAATGCTTTTATTACGAAATACATCGATTCTAGCATTCCTATCATCTTTAATTATTAAAAAAACTCTACTTCAGAAAGTTTTTTTTTAGAGATGCTGAAATGATAGATTTATAATTTGTTGTTCAAATCAAAATCTAATATTAAAATCATAGTTATCAAAGCTGCATATTTTTTTTCTGAAAACAGAAAAAAGTTGCATAGTACTGTACATAGCCCATGCATTCGTATCAATTCTTCAATTGTAGCCTGCATTTTTTATTACATGCATACACTACTGAAGCCTCATGATCCAGTTACGGTTCATCCAGTCGCAGATTATGTATTTTGATTCTCCCCATCTTTTCTAAGACAGCTCTTTAAAATATTACCAACTTTTACTCTGAAGTTATAATATGATTCTAACTACACAATAGCCCTAGGTCATATATTCTATCAATGAAAATATTCATAAATTATTTTTCTTGCTTTCCCGAACTTTGGCTATTCTTGGAAGTAAACCATGTCTACGTGCACAGATACATCATCATTTTTAAATACTTTCTTGATCATACCAAATATTTCACTATCGATTTTCACGAGTAATATACAATTTTAAACAGCTTGCTAGAATTTCAAATTCATAATAGTATGTGTTATTCATATGTCATCAGGTGGATAAAAGAACTGAATTAGATTCATATAAACTTCTCTAAATACACACGCAGAATACGAACTTTAATATGGATTTCCATGGCGGTAAACTTACAGCACAGTCAACATTACAGTCTATTTTCATATTTCGTTTCTCTTGAAAAATTTTCGATTAATAATACGATAGCCATTTTGCTACATATATTATACACTAAAATAATTTAATTTTCAAACGAATTGCAATGATATCAGCAAATAAGTCACATAGTTATGATAAAAGCTATTTTCGATCTGAGTGTAAAATGGCTATATAAATGTATCGTTAATTATAATAAAGAAATCGTGTCACTTCAAATTTTATTGGTCGTAATGACAGCTCCAACTTTTCTAATTTTGAAATAACTGTCAATCCTCAAACAGTAATTATATCGCCTACCATATAGTCTATAAAGGAACCATAATCACATCAACCAAAACAGATAAGAGTTGAAGATTAATATCTCGACTCAAATTACCTACACAAAACTAGTAGAATTCAAGTCGAATCTAAGCTAGGAACTTTCAAGACAGTAGAACGAAATTTTTATCGTGCAACCACTGGGCTAATTTTTTCCTAATTTTATGCTCAATGGAGATAAATCTTACAATTACACAATATAACATGTCGATTTTGATAAAATATAATCAGATACACAGAGCGGAAAAGATCTTGAAAAACTTTCTTAAAGTCTACATTTCGATTGATCGTTTCTATCAGATAACTATCCATTGTATACCTACATTGATAGAGAATGTTATAAATATGGACTCAAAATATTCTGTATTATTTCTGCAAATACCTAGCAAAATTTCAGATCAATGCTCAGTTACAGAATTTATTTATTTTACTTTTGTCTATTAACATTTCATATTACAGTACGCATTAATTTCGTATATGCCTTCTGCTGATATTACTGTAGCCTATATTAAAATATTAGAAATGAAAGAAAATTTAAGTTTTCAAATGTCTCGTTCCTGAATTTATCTATTTTACATTAGCTCTGCTCGTTATCTAATAGGATTTTTAATATGTATTTTCCATAGCGTCATTAATGTTTTCCAAAACCTTAATGTTATATTTCTACTATGAAATTGAATATGTAAAAATAAATTCGAACCGAAATATTTGGTGACAAAGACAATATGATAGTAAATAAGCAGATAGATCACTTTTACATTAAAACATTTCCATTAGTTACCAAGGTTTTTCAAACTTTGTTTAGTAAGTAAAATACACAAAAATAATCGAAGTTTAATCGAAATATCCCGCATAAATTTTATTTACATAAGCCACTCGGAACTTTCATTGCTTCGTTCTTTTATTCATACCGTGATCAAAACTGTAGCCTAATACAAAGTCAAAATAAAGACACTTTCAAAATATTCAATTTTATTGGAATCTAAATAACAAACGATTGATTCATTCAACTGTTATAACCTAAATAGAATTTTTATGATTTCAATTTTTAACAGAAATTAGAATCGCGTTATATCTTGAGTATTTGTACAATACGCTTATTGAAATCGCAGATATTATCAGCCGTTTAGTATTATCAGAATCAGCATGCCCCGAAAAATACATTTTTAAAACTTCGCTTATTATAATCAAAACGTCAGTATAATTATCATTACCGTCAGATAAAGCTCCCATCGGTCTTAATCAGTGTTTAAACATTAAACAATAAGCGTTTTAATCGTTACTTGTTCATAATGCAGTAATTTAACTTTCTTACACCTTATCCGCTGGATGAATTACTAGTAATTAATAACAAAAAACAACAATAAAAACAACTGAAGAAAAAAAAAAGAATTCTCTTCAAAATGTTGAACATTACATCACATATGATGTAAATCTAAAATTTTAAGTTACATTATATAACACTTAAATTTAAAACATTTTTCTAAATTAAAAATATAACAATGGCATGTCATTTTTCAGATTTATTCTGAAAATGTATATATTCAAATATTCATTTTTGTGACATTTGAATCGATGGTATTTAAACAAATCTTTAACTTAAGAATTTCTCGAAAATTTTTTGCATCCACTTATATGTATTTAAAGGATTTTACCATTTAAATAAATTTTTATCGAAATCACATTCGTAACATTTCGTATCATAATACAATTACAATATCATATTAATGACTAAATTCGAGTTAATAAAAAATAACCAAATGCAAGTATAGTTTAATTACACTGTAATATCAGTGGTAATTATTTTTTTGCTAGCAGAATCATATAAATTCATGATGAAGCTGATTCTATGGGTGCTTCTAAGTGATAAGTAGCTAAGTAAGCAAACCAAAGGTATAAGTGAGTTTATTGGTTTGTTTACTAAGCTGCCTGTAAGTTACTTAAAAGAACCCT